GGTCAAGAGGTAGGAAAACTTCTCATTTTAGAGCAAGTACCTCTATAGGCTGAACCCTAGGAGAAAAGAGGAACCACTATATTGCTTTGAACTTGTAAAAAAAAAAAAAAATTCCAGAGTGTTAATACCTATTAGTTCTTGACAGAAGAAAGGTAAATTTTCTCTGAAAGAAGAAAGGTAAATTTTCTCTGAAGGAAGAAAACATCATTCTCATTCTTCAACTATTTCTATGAACAATTTGTAAATAAAATATTCAGTATTAAATATTAAAAATACACAATTCAAGAAGACAAATTGGGCTGGGGTTATGGCTCAGAGGTAGAGCACTTGCCTAGCATGTATGAGGCACTGGGTTCAATCTTCAGCACCACATAAAAATAAAATAAAGATATTGTGTCCACCTAAAACTAAAAATAAATATTTAAAAAAGACAAATAAATAGGAATAAAATCATAATATACAATAATAAGTCCTCAGGGATATTGGACACAGACTAAAGTAACAAACATAACCAAGTTAAAGGAAGTAAAGATGCAAATAATTAGTAAAGAATGATATGGAAACTCTTGCTTTTATATTTCTTCTTTTATTTGTTCTTTTTGATATACATGACAGTAGAGTATATTTTGACATATCATACATACATGGAGTATAACTTCCCATTCTTGTGGTTGTTCATAATGTGGAGCTACCCTGGTCATGTATTAATATATGAATATATTAAATTTATGTCCAATTCATTCTACAGTCTTTCTTATTCCCACCCCCTTCCCTTTATTACCTTTTGTCTAATCCAATGCATTTCTATTCTACATGCTCTCCCCTGCCATTGTGTGTTAGCATCCACATCTCAGAGATAATATTCAGTCTTTGGTTTGGGAATGGGCTTATTTCACTTAACGTTACGGTCTCCAGGTCCAACCACTTAATGGCAAATGCCATTATCTCATTCTTCTTTATGGATGAGTAATATTCCATTGTGTATATATAACATATTTTATTTATCTATGCATTTGTTGAAGGGCACCTAAGTTGGTTCCATAGCTTAGCTATTGGGAATTGAGTTACTATAAAGATTGATGTGGCTGTGTCACTATATATGCTTATTTTAAGTCCTTTGGGTATATGCTGAGGAGTGGAATAACTAGGTCAAATGCTGGTTCTATTCCAAGTTTTCTGAGGAATCTCCATTCTGCTTTCCAGAGTATTTGCACCTATTTGCAGTCCCACCAGCAATGGAGAAGTATACCTTTTCCCCGATATCCTTACCAACATCAAATGAAAGTTCTTGAGTGGAAAAATTTAGTGATTATCATTGATTACTCACTAGATATATTTAATAACAAATTAGACAGACTGAAAGAGAAGTCAAACAAAAATATCTAAACTGAAACTATGAGACCAAAAGGATGAAAACTACAAAGTATACAGTGATATAGAGGGAAGACATAATATACATTATCCAGAGTTCAAGGTGAAGACAGAAAACAAATGGCCAGATGCATATTTTGACGTGTGAGTGATCATGAATTTTCCAAAACTAATCATAAATCTTAAGACACAAGTTCGAATATTCATATGAAACAAATGCAGGAGAAAATCCATGAGTAAGCTTGTTATAATAATAAAATTGCTAAAAATCAAAGATGAAGAAGGAAAAATCTTTAAAAGCAGCCATACAAAAGAAAGGTTGTTTTCCAAGGAGCAATTCTTAGATGGCTGTTGACTTCTACATCAAAAGAATGAAAGCCAGAAATGCCTTTGTAAAGTAAAATAAAATAACCAGCAACAAAGAATTTGGCATTTAGTAAAAATACTCTTCAAAACTGAGGCTTAAATGAAGACATTTCAAATATATTATTTGTTAGAGTAGATCAATGTTTATTTGTTACCCATGGTCTTACAATGAAGGGATTATTAAAGGGTGTTTTTTGAGCATGAGGAAAAGTATCTCAGGAGGATGTAAAGAGATAGTAGAAATAAAGAGTAATGCACATTATATATCCGTGGGTTAATCTAAATGAATATTGCCTGTGTAAATACTAATGGCAATATTATTATATGTATTGTACTATGATATATATTATATATACACACATATATAATAAAAATTCACAAAAAGCAATGACATTTAATTACAAAAGGCAGTTAATGGAATCAAAAGTACTTTGTCTAATAGCTAGTCGCTTGACCAAAGGGTCAAATAACTAGCTGTTAGACTGGAATAATTTATAAAAAATGTAAATTGATATAATGCTCCAATTAAGAGACAAGATTTTTTTTAGAAGTTCACCTCTACACAGTTTTTACAAGACATGTCTAATACAGAAGAATTCAGACCATTTAAAAGGATATGGTTGGGGAAAAAGATACTAACGGTAAATCATTAAAGTGGGTATATTTCTAGCGTTGTCCAAAATCTACACTTTGTATAAGAATGAGGGCAAGAGAGAATGCTTTGTTGATAACATTGCGTTTAGTGTATATAGATTGCAATATGGAAGAAAATAGAATGTTCAATGTAATTTGTATTTCAAGTGTCTTACTGATAGAATTATAATAAATTCTATAGGGCCAGTTAGGATCTTGGGGTCAATGAAACTGCTGTACCAGATGAAACACATATATGTAGAATCACATAAAGCACCATTATATTCTCCTAAAAATAAGCAAAAAGAAGTGTTTACTATTGTATTCAATATGGCTATTGTAATTATTACTCATTTGTTCAAAATTTACTTAACTGAGTGGAAAAAACACATTAAATAGTAGCTCTAGTGTGTGAATCATTTGTATTCAATTAAATAGGCACACAAAAGTTATCACACCCAATGATTAATGGACTATATCTTTTGTTTATGCAAAGAATTATTTTTAAGAATTCTATTTGCCCACATCTCTATCCACAAGCTTGAATAGTTTTACAAACTAATATAAAATGTTTAATTTATTCTATGTAGCAATTTTATTTACTTTTTTAAACCACAAGTGCTATAATAGTATACCATAAACCTTCATTTTTAGCACTTTGAATTTTTTTTTCCTCTCTTTGGTCAAAATGTTAATTTGACCACTATTATAGGCCTTTCTTATGTAGTGAAGTTTATATCCATGAGACATTTTAGTTTCTGGAGCAAGCAATATTAGTCAATGCAATGCATTTATTTAATGAGATAATGATACAGTTAACTATTTGTAAAAAAAACCCAGAATTAATACAAAAATGAACTTCCATTTTAAAGGAAAGTCTTTCTATACATATTTATATTTTTTTCTGCGGTGTGACTCAAGTTGGAGAGTCATTGTACTTGTGAAGGAAAACCATTGGGAAGCCTTTGCCAAGTAGGATTTACAATGCTGATCAATTGTTGATGAGTTTTTAATCCAGGATTCCTTAGTAGTAGAAAGTAAGTGCAGGAAAGAAGCAGAGGAGATGAGAGTAATTTTCTCTTGTAAAGAGGTTGGCAATCCTAGGCTGGGCTTGGAAGAAACAAGCTAAAAAAAAAAAAGAATATTCAATATAGAACTAAAAAATAAATAAAAGTTTGAGAACTCATTGTTTAAGTAGAAGATAATTTGTGCTTGGTTAAATATACAGATGTTTAGTGCAAATTTAAGCCATGTTCAGTATATTTTGGAGAAAATACACAAGAAAGATATTGTCCAGTCTGCAGGAAAATAAAAAAACTTGTATTCTGTCAGAGATATTACTGTATTCTGTAATGGGTGAGTTACTGTGACAGCATTTGCATATTTCTCAGGTCCTAAAGATTTTAAGAAATTACTTAGGGGAGCATTAAGAACTCCAGAGACAGCCACTAAACTTCTTGCATTGCATCAAACGAAAATCGACATAAATATTGTGTGCCAACTTTCTGTGGTTATAATAAATGTTTGACATAAACAACTTAAAGGAGGAAAGATTTATGTTGGTTTTCATTTAAGAAGTTTTCAGCCCATGGTGGTTTGGGTCCGTTGCTTTGGGGGCTGTGACGAGGCAGAACGTCATAGTGAGGAGCCTGTGGTGCGGCAAAGCTGCTCACCTCATGACAGCTGGGAAGCAAAGAGAGAGACAAGGAACTGGAGTCCCCTTGGAGGTCACATCCCCAATAACCTAACTTTTCCAACTAGGTCCCATCTCTTAAAGAATCTACCATCGCCCAGTGGCACCACAGACTGGAGATCAAGTCTTGAGCATATGGGCTTTATGGGGGCATTCAAGATGTAAACTATAGGATAAGGTCTCTCAGGTTCAAAGTCGCCAAATAAGGCAAAAGCCTGGGAAGAATATTTTTACCTTCCATAATGATATAAATTTATACGGCAAAGTAGTAATGAAATCATATTATAGACATACTGATTTTTGAAAGCGGAGCATCACTCCAAAATGATGGTGTTAACCTGGGGATTGTTGGAGAAAAGACTATTTCATCAAGTCTCTGTTGATTTTTTGAAATAGCTTATTTTTGGAAGAAAAAGGGGATAATTATTTAGCCAAATTAATCCATACACTCATCAATGATTTGAGGAAAGAAGTCTCTATCTTTATTCTAATCCAATTTAAGCTGTCTAGCAAGGCTGTTCTATACTTAATGATGACATTAAGAATTTAAATGCACAGTTATTATCACATGATATGAGTATAAAATTAAAAGTGAGGAAAATAGAAAATATTTGTTTTAGAGGTCAAGACTTGAAATGGGTTGGAGATGTGGCTCAGTGGT